GGAGGCAGAGGAAGGAGGATCTCTGAGTTCGAGGACAGCCTGGTTTACTGAGTGAGTTCCAAGACAGCCAGGGCTACACAGAGAAATCCTGTCTCATAAACCAGAATAAAATACAACCTTACAACCTTAAACTGGGCGTCGGTGGCGCACGCCTTTAATCCCAGCACTCAGGAGGCAGAGCCAGGCGGATCTCTGTGAGTTCGAGGCTGAGGCTAACCTGGTGTACAGAGCGAGATCCAGGACAGGCACCAAAACTACACAAAGAAACCCTGTCTTTGTGTAGAAAAACAAACAAACAAACAAAAACCAGACCTTAAAAACAAGTCTTGAAGACCTCTCACACGGTACCTCACACTTGTAAGCCTAGCACTCTCAAGGACTGTGTACATTTGAGACCAATCCGGTTACCTAGTGAGCCCCTGTGTTAAGTAGCAATTGAAACAATCCTCCAAATTGAAACATTCTGTTCTAGAGAGAGGTTGTTAGGACTCCAGAAGTAAACAGCATTTATAAGGTTCAAGGGTTCCTGAAACTCCCAGAGTGGACTTTCCAATACCTGGAACTCTAAGGTGAGAGTGGTCACGCAGGCAGGGTGAGCTTTTTGTGTTTTTCGTTTGGTTGGTTGGTTGGTTGGTTGGCTTTTCAAGACCACGTTTTTAGCCGTCCTGGCTAGAAGGCTGGCCAGGAACTCAGAGATCTGCCTGCATCTGACTCCCTAGCACTGGATTTAAAGACCAGGCCTGACGCTAGGTGAACTTTTTGGTGATGCAGCTGCTTATGAATCATCCTCATTCCTGTAAATATAACTCTTTACCTATACCTCTGTAAGTAGCCCCAATAAACTCATTAAACTAGTTTGCCAAGTTGAACTTTAGTGAAGTAATTTTTTCCTCTGTTGTGATAGCCTATCTGGGGTAAAGACACATTTGTTCATATCTCCCCAGGAAACCACACAACACACTTTCTTTCTTTTTTTAACTAAATAAATCTTTAATTTTTTTAAAAAAAATTAGCAGGCGGTGGTGGTGCATGCCTTTAATCCCAGCACTCGGGAAGCAGAGCCAGGAAGATCTCTGTAAGTTTGAGGCCAGCCTGGGCTACAGAGTGAGTTCCAGGAAAGGCGCAAAGCTACACAGAGAAACTCTGTCTCGAAAAAACAAAACAAAACAAAACAAAATCAGTCTATGTACTTTAAAGATGTGTTGGCCTCAGAATGGAAACCAGGATATGTGTTACATTGGAGAAGAGGTTTTGCTTTTGTTTCCACAGGAGAAGAAAAACTTTGGATACCATCAAAATTGATAAAGATAAGATTTGAACAAGAGACACCTCTTGATTAGAAGAGATGATAGTTCATCAGCCAGTGTGACCATTCAATCTAAACTAACTTATAAGACTAACAAATGCTTTTTCTTTATTTCAGATGTAAATTGCCAAAAGGGAAACTCCCCAAAGTTAGGGTTGGGACAGAGTTTTGTTTTTGTCTTTCCAGGAGAATGAAGGAATCCAGCTAAAGAATCTGAGGACCACTGGACAAGTGAGACATCTGAAGAAAAAGGATGAATCATACAGAGAAAATGTCCCATGAAAAAGTGTAAATTGGCCTATTGGTATATCACATTTCCAACAGGATAAAATTTCATAAATCTTTTTTTTTTTTTTTTTTTGGTTTTTCAAGACAGGGTTTCTCTGTGTAGCTTTGTGCCTTTCCTGGAACCTACTTGGTAGCCCAGGCTGGCCTCGAACTCACAGAGATCCGCCTGGCTCTGCCTCCTGAGTGCTGGGATTAAAGGCTTGCACCACCACCGCCCGGCAAATCTCATAAGTCTTCTCAAAAAAAAAAAAAAAGTAGCGACCGGCGGTGGTGGCACATGCCTTTAATCCCAGCACTCGGGAGGCAGAGTCAGGCAGATCTCTGTGAGTTCGAGGATAGCCTGGTCTACAAAGCGAGTTCCAGGAAAGGTGCAAAGTTACACAGAGAAACCCTGTCTCGACAAACCAAAAAGAAGAAGAAAAGAAAAATTAGCAACAGTAAAGTACACAGGTCTTTTTTTTATTATTTATTCATTTATTTTTCTATTCTCAACTTGATACAGTATAAATTCTTATCCTAATACTGAAATATTTCATTGAGGCTTGCCTAGTAATTGAGTAAAACCAAAACTTATTATAAGCCACAGTCATCCTAGGCTCCCCCCTGCTATATAGCCTCCCTGGTTCTGTGGGTTGCAGTCTGATTGTCCTTTGCTTTATATCTAGTATCCACTTATGAGTGAGTACATACCATGTTTGTCCTTCTGTGTTTGGGTTACCTCACTCAGGATGATGTTTTCTAGTTCCATCCATTTGCCCGCAAATTTCATGCTGTCATTGTTTTTCTCTGCTGAGTAGTACTCCATTGTGTATATGTACTACATTTTCTTAATCCTTTCTTCAGTTGATGGGCATCTAGGTTGTTTCCAGGTTCTGGCTATTACGAATAGTGCTGCTATGAACATAGTTGAGCATGTATATTTGTGGTATGATTGAGCATTCCTTGGGTATATGCCCAAGAGTGGTATGACTGGGTCTTGAGGTAGATCGATTGCCAATTTTCTGAGAAACCGCCATACTGATTTCCACAGTGGTTGTACAAGTTTGCACTCCCATCAACAGTGGAAGAGTGTTCCCTTTGCTCTGCATCCTCTCCAACATAGACTGTCATTAGTGTTTTTGATTATAGCCATTCTGACAGGTGTGAGGTGGTATCTCAGAGTCATTTTGATTTGCATTTCTCTGATGATTAAGGATGTTGAGCATTTCTTTAAATGTCTTTCAGCCATTTGTGATTCTTCTTTTGAGAATTCTGTTTAGCTCTTTAGCCCATTTTTTAAATGGATTGTTCAGTATTTTTTTTTTTTTTTAGATTTATTTATTTATTATGTATACAGAGAAGGGCACCAGATCTCATTACAGATGGTTGTGAGCCACCATGTGGTTGCTGGGAATTGAACTCAGGACCTCTGGAAGAGCAGTCGGTGCTCTTAACCTCTGAGCCATCTCTCCAGCCCCCGATTGTTCAGTATTTTGATGTCTAGTTTCTTGAGTTCTTTATATACTTTGGAGATCAGTCCTCTGTCAGATGTGGGCTTGGTGGAGGTCTCTTCCCATTCTGTAGGCTGTTTTTTTGTCTATTGACCGTGTCTTTTGCCCTACAAAAATTTCTCAGTTTCAAGAGGTCCCATTTATTAATTGTTGTGCTCAGTGTCTGTGCTGCTGGTGTTATATTTAGGAAGTGATCTCCGGTGCCAATGCGTTCAAGAGTACTTCCTATTTTCTCTTCTATTAAGTTTAGTGTAACTGGATTTATGTTGAGGTCTTTGATCCACTTGGACTTGAGTTTTGTGCATGGTGACAGATATGGATCTATTTGTAATCTTTTACATATTGACATCCAGTTATGCCAGCACCATTTGTTGAAGATACTTTCTTTTTTCCATTGTATAGTTTTGGCTTCTTTGTCAAAAATCAGGTGTTCATATGTGCATGGGTCTTCAATTCGATTCTATTGGTCTGTATGTTGGTTTTTATACCAGTACCAAGCTGTTACTATAGCTCTATAGTAGAGCTTGAGGTCAGGGGTGGTGATGCCTCCAGAGGTTGCTTTATTATACAGGATTCTTTTAGCTATCCTGGGTCTTTTATTTTTCCATGTGAAGTTGAGTATTTTTCTTTCCAAGTCTGTGAAGAATTGACAACACCCTTTCTAAAAAATAGAAAACCAAAGCTCTTTGTAGTGTGCACTTTAACCCCAGTACTCAGGAGGCAGAGGCAAGCAGATCTCTGAGAGTTTAAAGCCCCGGTCTTTGTATGAAGTTCCAAACCAATCAAGAATAATGAGACCCTCCCAAAATTAAATAAATAAAACATAACATTTATGTTATATAAATATGTAATTTACATATAACTGTATATAATATAAAGTATATTTATATAAATGTATAAGTTCATATAAATTTACATGCAGATGTCTTAATTATGTATATTTTATATAAATTATTTATAAACTATATTATATATCCTTATATAATTTTACTTTTTTACTTATTTAATTTTGGTTCTTCGAGACAGTTTCTCTGTGTAGCCCTGGCTGTCCTGGAGCTCACCAGTAGACGAGTGCTGGGGTTGAAGATATGCACCACCACTGTCCATTTATTTATTTATTTATTTTTGGTTTTTTGAGACAGGGTTACTCTATGTAGCTTTGGTGCCTGTTCTGGATCTCACTCTGTAGACCAGGTTGGCCTTAAACTCACAGAGATCTGTCTGGCTCTGCCTCCCGAGTGCTGGGATTAAAGGCATGCTCCACCACCACCTGGCACATTGGCAACTCTTCCAGAGGTCCTGAGTTCAATTCCCAGCAACCACGTGGTGGCTTACAGCCATCTGTAATGGAATCTGATGCCTTCTTCTGGCATGTAGATAGAATACCATATACATAAAATAAATCTTGAAACAACAACAACTTTTGGTCTTGCTTAAATGCTTTGGAGTGTGTGGTGGCTTTCTTGAGATCCCAGACCCATTTCATGTGCCCAATGACAACTTGTCTTTGGTCTTCTGGCCTCCAAAACAATGAGGGAATACATTTCAGTTGTTTAACGCACCTAGTCTTAGGTAGACTTCTGTGTCAACCTCAGAAGACTAATGCAGCGGGATTTGAGATAGCCAATCCTGCCAAGGGCTGAGGAGCAGCTCCGTATCAACAGATTGACCTTTGCACACCTCTAGGCTGGTGTTCATGACAGAAAGGAACCCTCATGTATGTGAGCAATACTGGTGATGTAGTTTTGACTGGAGACAGGAACTCACCAGATCCTGGAGAACACTGACCATTCCCCAGGCTTAATCATAGAAAAGACAAGCTGTCTATCCATAGGAAATAAAAATAGCAAGGAAGGAGGCGGAGCCCTGCCCTAGAGCTTTCACAGGGAGGCGCTACAAGAAGAGAAAGCATTCGGTTCTAATGGACAAGAGGTCTTTATTGAAGTCAGAGCAGGGAAGTGAGAGCTGGACCCTCTGGCTACCCAGTGGATCCCAAAGTTAAAGTCTCAAGAAGGTGAAGCAATCTAGACAGGGACGAGGACTGGGAAGGGGTAGAGCCATCAGAAGGTGATGTTGTCTTCGTACAACGACAGCAGCAGCAGGACGGCCCAGCCGCCCAGCAGACCCACATTGTGCAGCAGGAAGAGAAGCCAGGGCCGCTGGTCCCGCACATTCATCATGGCTGGGAGCTGAGGAGAAGTGGGGCGCCAGTTCAGTAGCCAGCTGGGTGGACCCCACCCCACCCCACCCCACCCCCGTTAGTTCCCCACCCCGGCATAGGCTCTCCACCATCCTAACCATGTCACAAAGCGCCACATAAAGGAAGAGGCCGGTGGCTACCGCCAGAATCCAAGCTTCGCCCTCCTCCCCTACTCCGACTGCGAGAGCCACATAGAGGCCAATGAATGCTGTGAGCGCTGAGGCCAGGTTCAGCAGAAGCGCATGCTTCACAGTCAGCCCAGCATGCAGCAAGGCAGCGAAGTCCCCTAGGACAGAACAAGTCTTAGTAAGAGCTCTGCCCGCCCACACGTCAGGTACAGCCCATCAGACCAGTTAACACTCTCATCCCAGACAGACACACCCATTCAAAGGCCAGGCCAGCTCCAGTCCCCCTCCCACCTCGCTGCAACCCACCCTATCTCTAGCCACGCCCACCGATGATGACGGGGCGCTGCCATCGAAAGGCCTTGTTTCTTCTTCTATTGTCTTGCTCATCTCCAGAATAGATCACTCCCACTGAGCCCCGCCCACTCACGCCACGCCCCACCGCTCACCCAGTTCGTGGGGCAGCTCATGGCAGAACACTGCCAAAGAGGTGGCCAGCCCAGTCTTCCAAGAGGATGCGAAGGCTGCGCCCACAGCGAGCCCGTCAGCGAAGTTGTGCACCGCATCGCCCAGGGTGATCAGATAGGGCAGCAGCCTCAGTTCTGTGGGCGCGTCAAATGTGAGTCCTGTAGGCCAGGTTCTGCACACATGCCTAAGGGCAAACCCCAGATCTACAGCCCTCCCTTGGGGCTCACCTGTTTTCAGTCGCTGGGACTCTGGGAACAATAGTTCTGGGCTCTCCTCTGTCACCTGCGGGGAGCGAGAGAATGAACCCAGCCTCAAACAGGGCAGAACTAAAAAGGGCTCCACGTTGGGTAGAATTCACCACTTACCAAATCTGAGCGGGAGCTGTCGTGGGGCTGTTTGGACTGCCGGAGATTGCTGGGTGTCAGCTGCATCGACACTCCATGGCTGTGTCCCCCGTGGCTGACAGGCCCATCCTTCTCAGGATCCTGTGAAAAAAAAAACTGTTCAGAACCTATCGAGCCCTCCCTCCCTCACCCGTCCCACCTCCTGGTTCTCCAGAGCCTGACCTGGTCCCTGGGCAATAAGAGGTTGAAGAAACTCTCAAACAGGAAGAAGATGTAGAGGCCTCCAAGTGCAGCCAGCAGGCGCCAGGTAGACTGTGCACCAGTGCCCACTTCCTCGTGGGAATGGCCTTCCTCACCGTGTGTGTGCAGTCCCAGCACCTGAGGAGGAAGGGGGTGCTGACCGGGGACCTCAGGGCCACAAGGGGCTGGGGCTGGGGCTAGGGAAGGGCAGGGAGGGAGGTGAGGACGCTGTTGAGTGAGGGTTGACCTTGGGTGTCAGGTGCAGAAGGGCATCGCCTGTGAGTGCCCCCACGGCCAAGCTTAGGAAGGTCTGCATGACGTAGTGGGTGACTGTGCTGCATCTGGTACAAGTCAGCAGCAGAAGGCCGAACACAGCGCAGAGGCAGATGATCAGTGTAGCCAGGGAGCCATACAGATACCCTGTGGGGAAAAACGACACTGAGAAGACCCAGCTTCCTAGAGAGGCACCCAAGGCCAGCCCAGGAGTGAGCAGGTGCTCAACAGATCTGTGGGCTGTCAGTTGGGGCCCTCTTGCCCCACTAAATCCACTATCCTTCCCTTCCTTACTGGCTTCTCAGTCCTCAGTGCCCATTCCCCGCTCCCCCCTGGAGCCCAATGACATGAGGCCAGCACCCAGGGACTGAGCCAGCCAGGCACACCTCGGGGTAGGCACTCACTCTCGGCTTGGCTGAGCTGGTCCTGAACATGGGCAGTGGGGTGGAGGCTGCAGGCTCCACTTAGCTGCTGCTGGACTAAGGCAGGGCTCAGCTGGGCCCAGGCCTCAGGGCTCACCCCAGCCTGTTCAGACAGTCCATACACAGCCATCACATCTTTGGCACTCAGGCACACCTGGAGGCAGGGGAGTAAGACAGGAGTCAGGTGTCTGAGCAGACCCGGGGAAACCCACCTTTCTCCAGAACTGCAAGAGGCTCACCGTGTCCCAGACACTGGAGCTACTGTTGTGGGTAGTGTGGTGCTCGGAGTCTTGGTGATTCGCTTCCCTGGGCAGATGATCGTGGTCATCGTGGTCACTGTGATCCTCTTCTCTACCCACCCCAAGTTGATGCATCAAAACCTCCAGTTCTGGCAGGAAGAACAGTCAGTGAACAGTCTTATGGGCTCCAGCCTTGTCCCCTCCTCCCAGGAGTAGAGGCTGAGGATCTCAGCCTAGGCCTCACCAGCCAGCGTGATATTGGGAGCCTCGCTACCGCGTTGCCGGAACACAAAGTCCACAAAGTACTGAGGGCTAGGCAGGCCTTGGAAGCAGGACCCATTAATGACATGGTCCAGCAAGGCAGTCAGGACCAGGCCGGGGCTTCTGGAAGCTCCTGCTTCCTCAGCCTCCTCCAGCAGTTGGGGAACATCTACACAAGTCTGGAGAAGAAACTGGCCTCAGCTCTAACCTCAGCGTCAATCTCTGGAGTTCACTCTAGAGCAGCCCACTGGATGGATTGTCCATCACCTCCCCCAACTCACTCTCCCCACCCCCCACCTCCTCAGACTACTCAGATTTCACCAAAGACATCAGCTGGCTACAGTCCCTCCTTATACCATAGCCTAGTCCTGCCCCAGCTAGTCACAGCCTTCACTCTGGCCTCCTCTGGGCCTCAGAGCTTTCCTGACCAACACTTCCCCAAAGGGTTCCCCCAGACTGCAGTCCCTGTCCTACTCAAAATTGAACACCCAATTTTGATGCCCCAGACACTCCAGCCTCCCAAGTATCAGCTCGGATGCCAAGGAGGCTTCACATGGGACATGTTCCCTGCTGGAGCAGTCCCCCTTCCATGGCACTTGGGTCCTTCTCACTACTCCCAGCAGCCCCCTGGGTCCTCACCTCCTCCCCGGTGGTTTGGTTGGCATCATGGGCCTCAATCTTCTGCAGTAGCTGGCTCAGACCCAAGGTCATGGCCTCTGGACTCTCCAGTAGGGTCAGGTAGTTGTCCACACGGGAGGCCAAAAGGCCATTTTGGATGTCCTCACATGTTTCCTCTGGGTTGCTGAGGTAGAGGGCCGCGGCAGTACTAAGGTGGCTAATGTATCTGGACTCCAGGACTGGTTCTGGGGCAAGCCCTGGCTTGTCGGGTCTGCCTAGGGCCAAGACATCCTCCACAGTCAAGCACTACGGGCAGACAGGTAAACAGGGTCTGGGCTGGATTGGGCCCACCAGGCACAGCCAGGGAATGGATTCTATCAGCTATCTTACGTCCCGTTCTGCCCCTTGCATGGTTATCTTGACTAGGAACCTACACAGAGGGGTCCCCAGCAGTTACTCCCCCATCCTGAAGAGGGGAGGGTGGGTGGTCCTGGGTTCACTGCAAATCTGACAGCCTAGGAAGGGGAACTATGTGTCCTAAGAGGGAGGCCAGGCCTGTGTAAGCCCCCAAGAGGCAGAGGAGGCCCGGCTCCAGCCTGCAAGTAGGCTCAGACAACCAGCCTCCAGACCCGCCTCCTGGAGTTTGCCCAGGTCCCTTTGCTGTCGGCCACAGGGTGGAGCGGGCAGGAAGGGGCCGGGGCTGGGGGACCCGTCGGGTGGGGCTGTTACCTTTTCACACGGCCCGTTGGTGCAGTGCACACGGTCCGCCAGCGTATTTAACAGGCGGTCCAGTGCCTGCCGATCCAGAGCACCCTGACCCGAGATGAGCAGGCTTAGCAGGCGATTGGGCTGGACCACTGCTGCTGTGACCACCAGCATGGCCAACAGGAGCCCCAGTGTGAGCCGGGCTGGGAACCCCATGCCTCAGGCTCCCAAAGTGCTCCTTGCTTATGGTGCTGTGTGGAGACCGCTGGCGTCGGGGCTGGCTGTGGACTTGCTGGGGCGTCCTGAGGCCAGACTGGGGCTGGGCTCGACTTGCGTGGCCCTAACTCCAGGACCTCTCCCAGGTATTTCCTGCACGGCTCTGTGATTGGCTGCTGGGTTAACCATTCCAGTGGCAGATCCTCCCTGAAAGTCTGGGGGCAAGGAGCTGCTGCTTCCAGGGGCTGGAGCTAGAGCTGGGTCCCTTCCCTTGGGTGGGGGGCTTGAGCATCCCCTCCCCTGCCTGTCACACCCAGATCTGCCACGCAGAGCCGCCTTTGCTCCGTGAAGAGCCCAGGTCACCCCCTCCTATGACCTTGCCTATGGAGCTCAAGCTAGGGGACCAGAGGCAGATCTGCATAGACGTTACCAAGTCAAACATGGGTGTTGTATTTGACATTTTCAGGAGAGCCCTTAGGCCTGCCTCCACCCTTCCTCAGCTGCCTCTCAGCTCAAGCAGCTTAGACAAATCCCAAGTCTTGCGATCTGGGTGGGGGTGGGGGTGAGGGTGGTGTTCTTGGATCTTGGGCTACGGCCTCAGGGCCCAGCATGAGATTTCTGAAAGGTACTTGCTGACTCATGTTCCCCACCCCCAGCCCTCAGGGGGAAAATCCCCAGGAAATGGCTAAAGCCCCAAGCCAGACAAACAGGAAGAGAAGATGTGACCTTGGTCCTAGCCAACATCTGGCCAGCCTTTGGGGTCAGGAGGAGGTTGAGGACCTGCTGTGAGCTCTAGGCCTAAGCACAGGAAGATTGGGGTAGGGCTGGGGTTCCCAGCTTTGACCCTCCCTGATCGGTCCCTTTAGCCTTTGACCCAAGAGCCTTATCGCTACCCAGGTGGCAGGCTGGAGGAGGAGTTGGATCACCAGGGAGCTGACAATCCCCAGGTCACAAGGCCTTCTGAAAGGGGTATTGGGCCCTCTTCTACCTAGGTTCATAGCACTCAAGACCCTAGGCCTCTGGGGTGTGGTTTGGGTGTGGAGCTGGCAGCCTAATGCCTAGAGGACTCTGTCCCCTAGTATTCTGGAGGGTAGGGCAGGGTGGAGGAAAGAGTCTGGCTGAGTATCCTGAGCCTAGGGGTCAACTGCTTTGGACCTGCTCCTAGCACACATACACACACACACACACACACACACACACACACACACACACACACACGTCAATGATTCTTAGGGCTAGGGTCCCTACAATGTAGCTTCTAATCTTGGTCCTACGGAGGCACTATACTTGAGAACTGGGAGTATCAGTGTGAAGACAATGAAGAGAACATTCCCACATGTAGCTCTGAAGATGCCATATACCCAAACTGGCTTTTCTATTTCCACTGCTGGGCTGCTGGGGGCTGAGCCTGGACTGGTTTCCTTCCCCTGCAGATTGGCTGCCCACTGTTTAAGCACTCAGCTGTGGGGGACCCAAAACAGCTTGACCACACAGCTGCCATGATAGGCTTACTGGCAGGTACTACTCGGTCCCCAGGAAAAGCCTAAGCTGATCCCACCCAGGGAGGACCAGCATCTAAGCAGAAAGGACCTGACATCCCAAATATTCTAATCCTTAGATAAGATTGCCAGATGTTGGCTAGGCAGTGGTGGCACACGCCTATAATCACAGCACTCAGGAGGTAGAGGCAGGTGGATCTCTGTGAGTTCGAGGTCAGCCTGGTCTACAGAGAGAGTTCCAGGACAGGCTCCAAAGCTACACAGAGAAACCCTGTCTTGAAAAACAAAACAAAATGGCCAGATGTCCCTGAGCCTAGCACACATCCATTTCCCCTTTTTGCCAAGACACCTCTAGACAAATGTCAGCTCATCAGGGTCCTGAACCTTGGAAATTCCCTCACCTCAACCTCTACTATGATAAAAAAAAAAAAAAAAAAAAAAAAAAAAAAAAAAAAACCCACTCTGCCAGAGCTCAGGGCTCTCTGCTCTCCCTGCTGCATCAGATAGAGAGTCCAAGCTCGAGTTTGAAATAAAGGCTCTTTGCTTTTGCATATGGATTTGGTGTCTCCATGGTGGCCTTTGAGGGGTCCCTGTGATCTGGGCATAACATCAGCCTCTAGGGAGAAATCTTCGTGTAGGCTTGGCAGTCCAGGCTTCCCTAGATTTCTCCTTCAAAGGGGGGACCTGGAAGGCCAGCACAGCCATGTACCTGTGTCACTGTCCCTGTCTCCTTTCCAGCACGCTCACTGCCATTGCCACTGTTATATAAAAAAGTATAAGACCAATGTCTGGAGTAGGTGAGATGGCTCACGGGGTAAAGGCACTTGCCACCAAGCCTGATGAACTGAGTTCTACCCTTAGGATTCACATGATTAAAGGAGAAATCCAACTCCTGAAAGTTGTCCCCTCACCTCTATTGTATGCCATAGCAATTGCTCCCGCAGGCAAATAAATAGCAAATGGGAGCCTTACTACAGCTTGGGAAGATGAAATTGTAGAGATGACCATAGTGTGGATGGGCTTAATGCCACTAATTGTGATCAAAATGATTATAATGGCAACTTCTATATTTTATCACAGTAAAAATTAAAATAGAGCAAAACAATTCTACTTGGTTATCAATTCCTTGTGGTTATTGCCAGCCTTAATTCAGCAGCTACATATAATATATAAAGAAGTGAAAACCAGGCTTCATGGCATACATCCCTCATCCCAGCACTGGGGAGGCAGAGGCAGGCGGATCTCTTTGAGTTAGAGGCCAGCCTGGTCTACACAAGTTCCAGGCCAGCCAGAGCTACATAGTGAGATCCTGTCTCAGAAAACAATGAAAGTAGCCTGCATTTAATCCCAGCACTGGGGAGGCAGAGGCAGGCGGATCTGAGTTCCAGGACAGCCAGCCCTACACAGAGAAACCCTGTTTTGGAAAAAAACAAAAACAAAACAGAAAACAACAAAAGTGAAGGTGTTGGAGCAGGCCTGATCTGGGCTTGGTGGCATACACTTGTTATTCCAGCACCAGGAATCCAGAAGGCAGGAAGGAAACCAGAAAGGCAGAATCAGAATTGTATTTGAGGCCAGTATGGGCTACATAGGGAGACCATTTCTTTCTTTCTTTCTTTTTCTAAAATTTATTTATTTTTATTTTATGTGCATTGGTGTTTTGCCATGAGTGTTGGGTCCCCTGGAACTGGAGTTACAGACAGTTGTGAGCTGCCAGGTAGGTGCTGGGAATTGAACTCAGGTCCTCTGGAAGAGCAGCCAGAGCTCTTAATTACACTGAGCCATCTCTCCAGCCCTGTGAGACCATTTCAAACAAAACAAAACAGAAAGACAAAGAGGGGTTGGAGAGATGGCTCAGCAGTTAAAAGAGCTGACTCGTGTTCCAGAGGACCTGGGTTCTGAGCACCAACATAGTAGCTTATAACTACCTATAACTAGTCCCAGGGGATACAAAGCTTTCTCTGGCCTCCATGACATTAGTCATGCATGTAGGGCATAGACACATATGCAGGCAAAATACTCATATTCATAAGATTAAAAACAAAAAACAAAACACCCAAAAAACCAAGAGCTGTGAATGTAGCTCAGTGGTAAAGCATTGCCTAGCAACATGCACAGGACTTGGGTTTAATCCTTAGCACCAAAAACACCATTTGCCTAGCCACTGAAGGCAGGTGCTTCAATTAAACCCTGCCATAAGGTTGGTATTGGTGGCAAACACCAGCAATCTCAGAGTTGAGGAGGTTGAGGCAGGGGTATAACCTTAAGTTCAAAGACAGTCATAGCTACATCATAGCAAAACCATGTCTCACAAAAACCAAAGGCCAGGTGTGGTGGTACACGCCTTTAATCCTGGCACTCAGGAGGCAGAGCAGAGCCAGGAGGATCTCTGTGAGTTGGAAGCCAGTCTGGTCTATACAGCAAGTTCCAGGCCAGCCAGAGCTACATAGTGAAATCCTGTCTCAGAAAACAGGAGTAGCCAGGGTGGTGGTGGTGGTGGTGGTGGTACATGCCTTTAATCCCAGCACTCGAGAGGCAGTGGATCTCTGAGTTCAAGGGGAGCCTGGTCTACAGAGTGGGTTCCAGGATAGCCAGGGCTACATAGAGAAACCTTGTCTCAAAAAACTAAAACAAAAAACAAAAAACAAAAGCCGGGCAGTGGTGATGCACGCCTTTAATCCCAGCACTCAGGAGGCAGAGGCAGGTGGATCTTTGTGAGTTCGAGGCCAGCCTGGTCTACAGAGCGAGATCCAGGACAGGCTCCAAAGCTACACAGAGAAACCCTGTCTCGGAAAAAAAAAACCAAACAAACAGAAAAACAAACAAACAAAAACCAACCACCCCAAAGTGAATGGGCTCCTTATTTCTGACAACACAGATGCCACCACAGTGAACTTTGGAGGACTACATGTCACATGGCAGGGTCACAGTGCCTAACTCAGCATAGTACAGCAGAGGGGACCTGCCCGTGGTCTGGACTGGATTTATGGAGCCTGCAAACTACCTAGAGCTCTCAGGTGGAAGGCAGTGATGGCCGGCAAGGAGGCAGCCACCAAGGTTGTCAGATTCCAGTCACATCTGGCCCAGTGGAGGGTCTATGTGAAAGGACCAAGCAGATGCCATAACAGGCTGCTCAGTCTTCTCTCAGAGATCAGGCCTTAATTTCAGTTTCCTGAGACTTGAGCAAGCAGTTTCTGGGAGGGCCATGAACAAAAGACTGCTCAAAGTTCAGCCAGATGTTTACTTTCTGGGGCCCCTCACCAACTTAGGGTTATGTGCAGTACGTGCTTGGCCAGCCAGCCCCCATGGTGGCTCAAGGACAAAGCCTGGGACTTGTGCTGGACTGCCCCCAAAGTAATAAATTGTAACCACCAACCAGTAAATTCAAAGGTTATATACCCTCACCCAATTAAAAGAGAACAGAGATAAAAATAAACCAATCCGAGTTGCACCCGTGCAAAACTCCCCCAACCCCCCTGAAGGGCTTGTGGATTTTGCCTTTAAAAAGCTAGCCACACAAAGAAAAAGCAAGTTCCTCCTGGCCTCACGACTATGAGTGAGTGCTTTGGATCGAGCTTCCCTGCCCGCAGCTTGTAAACAAACAGAAATAAACCATGCTAATTGCATTCTGAACCTAAGGTCTGTGGTGGTTTGTCTTTGGGGTCCCAATCTGGGCATAATATATGCATGTCCCACTCTAGGAGCTGTGAGGACTCACCTTGCCGCTATAATTGACCAGCTAGCATCTCCTATGGAGGCAACTCTGTGTGGGGGGCTGAACAACAGGGCCACAACACTTTGTTGGTTTAGGGGCAGTGGCTTCAGGGGCTCTGTACCCCTCGGGGGCAGGGCTCTGTTCCAAGGTCAGGAGGGTAAATAGAAAAAACAGGGCAGGCTCAACATAACTACCCACGGCAGGAAGGTCAGACAGATCTTTATTGG